AATTCTATAAGATTTTTCATTGTTAAAATATAAAATAAGCAAGAATCAATATTTGTCAGAAGGTTTCTAAATCTAATTGTAAGATATATGTAGTCAATATGTAAAATTGAATATATATATTTTATTAAATATAATGAATTTATATAGTAAAATAAGGAGTTCTTCTTTGGCCTGTGCTGGCCATGGCCACCTCAGGCCAAAGCATAGCTCCGGCCATGTTTCTAATCAAAACACCTGCTTAAAACTAGTTCTATGGTCCAAGGAACTTTTTATAGCATCTATTTTCATGCATGATTCTTGATTCTATTTTGGGAATAGTGTATAGAGATACAACAAAGTTAATGGAAAAAAAAAAAAAAATACTCTAGCATTTTGAGGGGTGTTTGTCTAAACTTATAAGTTAGTCAAACTAGCTTATAAGTTCTAAAATTAAACTGACCTATTTGTTTATAACTTTTCTGAGCTTATAAGCTAAAAAAAATAAGTTGGGGGGAAGGTACTTTTTTTTTTTTTTTTGCTTATAAGCACTCTGCTTATAAGTTAGTTTGACCAAGTATATTATCATAATATCCTTGTTTAATTTTAAAATTCCATAGCATACCCTTATTTAATATAGTATCATTTTTAGTTATTTTATAATAAAATATACTTATAAGCCATATTTTACCAAACACGTCAACTATTTATTAATCACTTATAAGTACTTTAACCAAACACATAATTACTTAAAATTTCAAGTACTTATAAACTAAAAATTAGTATATAAACACTTGTTACTTATAAACTAACTTTTATAACCTCATAAAAAAAAAAAAAAAATAATGCATTACCTCAAATCTTCGCTTGAGCCTTCTTTTTATAGATTTTGTTGAGCGTTCGCCAAGTGGCATTTACTTACTATGTATGTGGCTGACATGGCGTCCATGCAGCAGCCTAGCCCACTGAAAATTCAGGCGTTTTACAAGAGATAGCATTAAATTCCGTTGCTAGCATCAACTGCAAAGTTAGCTTTTGTCTCCCCTCTACGTTTTATTAACGTCAGCTTTGACTGAACCTAATGGTTTTCTTCTTTTCAATGTTTTTAAAACCCAGCTCGTGCTGAAACCCGGTAAGCTTACTGGGTCCAGGTTAACCGGTTTAATTAGTCAAACTATTTGACAAAAACTTCTAAAATTCACCAAATAAATATTTAAAAATTATAGTTAAGTTTTTATAAGTTTAAAATTTAACAAACATATCTCAAATACAAATCGATCGGTGACTAGTTGACAGCGACGACACCTCAAATACAACTCTAATAGTCCCATGAGCCCATTCCCCTTAAAATATACACAAGATCTGGCCGAAATAAGTTCGATTTCAGCCAGATCTCATCGACGCCAGTATCAACATTCTAGGCCAGATCTCATCGATGCCGACATCGACAACCCTCCCCATCACCCAGAAATTACTCCTCTCTTCCTCTCGACCAAACCCACCTCACCCTACCCCTGTTAGCCTCGCCAATCGTGCGTAAAAGCAGGTTGTTGCCGTTGCCAGTTTTGTTCGATTTCGGGTCGATTTACTCACCAGAAATCAACTTCGTCACCACCATTGCATTTACCGGCACTTTCTCTTCAAAAGCCCTAACATCCCGGCCATCAATTGTTCCCCGATCATCCTCCCAAATCCTAGGATTTTGGGTGAATAGGAAAAATATAAACCTAGCCCGTTGAAGCTTCCTGGTCCCGGTTAAACCGGTAGGGTCAGGCCAGGTTTTAAAATATTGCTTCTTTTGATGGACTCAAAAGACTCAAAATCGAGGCTCACCTCCAAACCACTAGGGTTAGGTCTAATTCATTGGCTTTGATGTATTCCCTAATTCCTAATTAGTAAATTCGCATATTGTTCGTGAATAATCCATGTATTATTCGTGAACAACCGTATTTTATCAGCCTAGCCGTATTGTTCACGAATTATATGTCTCAGTAGTATTATTCGCAAATTATTGCCATATCCGAATTTTTGTCGAATTTTTACAAACATATTTTTCACCATTTGTTATGTTGTACCCGTTAAATTCTAGTACCCTTTTTTTGGTCATACCCGTATATTTGAAATGCTATATAGATTTTAACCAAATGGTCCATGAAAAGTACTAAAACTAGGATTGATATTGCCGTATATTTTAAAACGTATTATTGATAATGTGTCATATTAAACCCATATATACCCGTACCATATTTTTCCCATATTTGAATTTTATAGCCGAATTTTTACAAACATATTTTTTGCTATTTACCGTATCATACCCGTAAAATTTTTATATCTTTTTTTGCCGTACCCATATTTACTAACTAGGTTCCCTATTGCAATATGTTGACATAAAGGAGGGTCCTAAGGCATGCTTCATAATCATGGTCTAAGACCAAGGTCATTAGTTGAAGCCTTGGGACATGAACTTTTGGCTCAAGACTCCACACTCACTTTAGATTCTCAAAACCTTAAGCTTTAAGAATTTATCTATTTTTGTAAGGTCTCCTTATCTAAGGTTTTATGTTTTTGCTAGGGGTGAACGGGTCTGGGTACCCATCCAAATCCCATGGAATTAGAATTGGAACTGGAATCGATCGGTTCTTGGGATTTAAAACTGAAACTGGAACCGGAACTGACTGGTTCCTACGAACTAGAACTGGAACTAGAATCGACTTGTTCTGGTTCCTAAATGGCTGGAATTGGAATCTGAAGCATAGGTTCCATTTCTAGATACTTGGAAAAATTACAAATATACCCCTAATATTCACAAAAATTGACAAACATACCATATGAGAATTACAAATACACTCCCAATTATTTATAGAAATTACAAATACACCTTGCAGTTTGTTTATGAAATTACAAAAAGTTTCATCTGTTTGTTAGAAATTACTCACTAAAGCCAAAACAATTGAAAACCTACCCAAATCAGCTATGGTAGTACCTCTGGGACCTAGAAAGTTGTATGGAAACAACCTCCCATGGCCTCGCATCTACATCAACACCAAGCTCAACCAAGAATAGGTACATCTATCGGTTCCCATCATGGATTTGCCCCTCTTGTGAGCCAACGAGGCCCATTGGTCCATGGGTGGTCTTAGCTTGAAGCACCTTCGCCTTCAAGGTCAGATCGAGGGCTTCATCACTAAAGTCCGCAAAGAGCACGAAAAGATTGAAAAATCACAAGACAAATATGCCTCAAATTATTTTTTACTAATAACAAGAAAAGGGATGGTTTAGTTTCGTCTCCTCCCGCTCTAGTGGCAGTAAAGAAGAGGAGATTCTCATATTTGAGTGATGAAAAGGAAGAAAAAGAAGTGCACCAAGTTGTAGAGAAAGAGAAGGGGAGTTATAGGAGGAAATTAATGAAAGATTTTGTTGGAGTGGCGAGGGATGAGGAGTCGGCAGGAGTGAAGATGAGGAATAAGGGAGTTGGGTGCTCGAATCCAAGTTCTGGCCTCTGGGTCCTTTTTCTGGGTCGGTTCCTATTCCTAACACGGGTGGAATTAGTACTGAAATCGCACAGTACCGATTCCACCAAATAGGAACCTAAACCGATCCTGGGCTGGTTTTGGGTAGGAATTGAAACTAGCACTTTGGGTACCGCTGGTTCCAGTTCTACCCTAAATTCATGCTCATCCCTAGTTTTACACCTTAAAAAGGACATAAATTAAATTAGAAGATAATTTATTTGGTACTCTACAACCTCTTCTACAATATAGATTCAATAATACTAACCCCACTCACCCCTTTCACTAACTCCATGTGTAAGTTTATGATTGACTTGATTAGATGGGATCCATTATTTGATAGACAGGACCCATGTAAACTGATGAATTGTAAACTGACACATGGCGTTAATGAGAGAAAGTTAATGAAAAGTGTTAGTGAAAAATATTAGTGAGTGTAGTGTTACTCATATAGATTACTCCGGCCATTCTCATGATAATTTAAATTTTTTATTCAAAGAAACTTATGAAATCTTGTTTAATTATGGTTAATATTTGGTAATTAATTTTTTGTGTTTTCGTAAAACTTTGTTAGAAGCTAGGACCTTTCAACGTATGTGTAGTAAGATCAATGTCCAAAAGAATAATCCAGTTATGCACAATCACATTTGGTATATACTACCCTGGATTCTACCTGCAAGTAAATTATTCCAGTTTACAAACTAAAATTGAAGTCGAATAAAAAATAGTGTGTTCGACACGTAGTACTAATAATTAATGGAGCATCGGAACAGATGCCAAATTGAGTCCTGAGGAAGCTGAGATGAACAAAGAAAATGCAGAACCAGTGACAGACCAATCATGAGATCTGACAATAATGGATATTGGGAGGTAGCTGTACTCTACAATTTATTTCTATATCCCAACAACTTATGAATAGTTCCCTCGGAAATTGCTCCTCACATCTTCATGCATATAGTGGGACTATTTCTATTTGATATATTCTGCCAGCGCCACACTCCATTCCCTCTAGTGTCCATTGCATGTTGATTCTGCCAGTGCACTACTGCTTCATCATCTTTTGTTTTCTTCGATGGTCAAGAGATAGTAATTCAACTATTTCTTATTGCACATCACTAATCGTCTAATCTCTCTCAAATTTACCATTTTAATTTATAATAATTCTACATGAATAATAGATTCCAAATCATTGTTTCATCTTTATCACTTTGTAATACGCCTCTTATAAGAATTACCACAAAGAAAATGAGAGAGAAATTCAAACAGATATATCATTGTCAAGGTAGCTTAGCAAGTCAACTATGATATCGGTTGGAGAAGGCAAAATATTAACAATTAAAAATATGGAAAATCACTGGCAAATATAAACACGAAAATAAATTAAACTCTGCCAAACGCCATTTCATTGCTGGACTACAACCCTTAAAAAAATCCCGAACGAACAACTAACTCTTTCACCGATAAAGATCGATGGTCCAAAAAAAAAAAAAAAAAAAAAAAAAAAAGGATGCAGAATAAGGGTTTGCAAAAAATTTAATCAAAAGACTAAAGGGTTTAAGACAAGGCTACCAGTGATTCAAAGGTATCCAAACTGAACCCTAAACAACACCGTAAGACTGAAGATTTTTAGTTGCTTTTTCTGTGATAGAGCTAAGTATGAACTGGCTTGATTGCTGGTACTGGCACTCCTAGAAAACAAGATGAGTTTATTCTCACACTGTTGTAATTCAAACACTTGCCGCCGCCTCCTCCATTTCCACCCATCGTATTCGCAACACTCCCATTCTCAACAGACGACTCGGCTATTTTAGATTCATATTCACCCCTTGTTTCTTCCGCATCCTTATGTATAATCTCCTTCTCAGCATTGTTATAACAATTATCAACCTTATGGACAAAATCACCAATAGCATTCGAATCTTCAGTCTCTATTTCCAGGGCTGCTGTTTCTTCTTGTTGTTCTTCCGCATTGCAATATTGATCGTCGATTTCATTTTCATTTTCATCGGCAAAGGGATGGGGCAAGACATCGTCATCTAGAGGAACAAGCTGTAATGTGAGATGACCATTGGATCTATAGGCCTTGAAATACTCGTGATGCCTCACCCTCACCATCCTTAGGATCAACCGGCCATCATTGGTGTTGTATCTCTTCAACACAAACGGCATATGCGAAGGTTGGTTCTCTGTACGTGCGAGCAAGGATATTGGTGGAGGGAACTCTTTCTTCTTCATTGACCACCGTTCATCTCTCTTACCACGGAGATAGTTTTGAACACGTGTTCCCGCGTTCTCTTCTTCTCTACTCTCCCCACGCAAATATTCATAATTCTTCAAGTCAAGACAGCTCTCCATACCAATGTAATCACCCATCTGATCAGAAGAAAAAGACGGTGGTAGTGGATGTGACATTAGGTTAGGTTTCAAAATGCTAGAATCGTGATGGTTATGGCTATGGCTATTCTCAGGACAAATGGTTAGAGTTTTATGACCAAGTTCTATATCTGATGATTTTGGGGACTGCATCTGAAAAAGAAAGCTAGAAAGAGAGAATGAATTGTTGCCTTGTTGGGTTTTTAATTAATACTGTATCAATCTAGCTATCTTGAAGTACATGGGGAGAACAGTATGGTACTTTTGGCTGGTTAGAGAGTTTCAGAATTCAGAGTATGTTATCGAGAAGAGCAGTATTGAGAAAAGAGAAAATTGTAGCAGAGACAGCTAATATCTGTGACGTCAAGATTAGGGATTTATGTGGCTTGGAGATATTCGAAATGTCGTTCATAAGCAACTTACCTGTAATAGACAAATATATAGAAATAATTAGATGATATGTCAATTACAAGTTAAAAATATCTTACTGTTACCTACTTCATGAACTAGAATCTAATTATGATATAACAAACAAGCTGTGGGCGTGGCGTTTCTATTAGCTACTTTTTATGCTAGTTTCGCTGTATGAATCAACTATAACCATGTGTAAAGCTCGAGTGTATTCATCCAAAGGACCACAAAACAAAACAAAATCTCTGATAAAAATTAAGTTTGATTTCTATAAACAAAGCGTCGCGTTGCATAAGAGTTTTGAATGCAACATAATGAAAGGAAAACGTGAATTAATTACTTGAAAATGAAAAGGAAATTAGAAAATTAATTATTGGGGAAGAAGACGTATACGCGTCCAAAAAGCTTGGCAATGAAGAGTGAACCAGACATCTCTGGCATGCAAACGTGGATGCCAGATATCTCCTGCTCAAACAAACAATTAATATTGTTTTCATTTCTTTATTCTCTGGACGAACCAAACAAATTCATATTATTGATGAATGATGAGATAATCTCTCTCTAATTTTTTTTTTCTTCTTCTATCTCTGACGATTTAAGGAATAAAATAATAGCAGTACTCGAATTTTAATCAAACATGATGGAATTCTACCATAATTCTAAGGACCCTAAAGTTTTATATTGTTTTAATTAAATTTTATATAATAAATGACTAAATGATTGAATAAAATATGTTCAAGATTTCAACACAAGTTTTCTTCATCGACAAAAAAATATATATAATATTAGAAGAGAATTCCTTGAATTATTTTTGGACTAACAATGAATAGTTAGAACACTTCAATTCAATATTTTTCTTAATAATTTACTCCAAATCAAAGTTTTCCAACTCTTTAAACCCGGAAATAGATTGACAAAAGAAGTGTGAAGACAATGAACAGATTGAGAAGAAACTCTTAAACGTAACGAATGTAAATGAACAGATATATCAGTTCACGTATGTATATATATAATCATAAAGAAAAGAATAAAATAAGAAAAAACTTACTGGATTGCGATGGAGAAAAAAGAGTTGACATCATCATCTTGGTTCCGAGATCTCTTCAAAGAGAGAGAGGGGGGTGAAGAAGAAGTACAAGAGAATCATACGAGGATGACAACTAAAAAGACAAAGAGACAGAGACAGATAGGCATTAGGTCTTGGCTTGATTTCACTCTTCAATTTCTGTTTTTTAAATATTTTCTTTCTTAATATCAATAACTTCCCATAACTAAATCTTCTTTTGTTTAAATTGCCGATTTATAGGCGGGGCTTTAGGGTTTAGTGTTCACCGAGTCGTCTCTCTCGCTGGACTTTTAAACCTTAGCCATTTTGTTGTTACTTTTGGTTATTTTTGCTGGTAAGCAATAGTTTTGGTATTTTATTTTTATTTTTTAGAAAAAAAAAGAAATAAGGCCAGCTTATCAGTGCTTCAATTAATCATCCGATGCCTTGAAATTAACGGCCAGATAAGCCTCCAATAACTACTCTTTATAAATAGTTTTGGTATGTTAACTCATATTCTAGTGTATAATTTAAGACCCAAAGAATCTGCATTTTGGGATGCCTTTTATTTTTCAATAAATTATATAATTTAAAATTTGCATTAAAAATAAAAGTTCATGAAACTTATTCCTCTTCTGTTCTTTCGTTTTTAAAGGATGAATCAGTTTTACTTAATTACCTAATTAAAATCAATTCATTTTACCCTTTTTTCATGACAACTCGCATAGTCAACACTGGTACCACCGTTTACGCATAAAAATTAATTGAAAAACGAACCACTATTATGTATTATCTACTCCACGAAAATGTTGGAATTATTACTATTATTATTTTGTATTTTGGTTAGATAATTATGGTTTCTCTTGAATACTTTAGATTACAGATTGAAAGTTATCATTATCTAGAGTTCTAGACCACTTTTCTGGATAGCATAATATGGAGTATTCGATTGGAATAGTTCAATCTAAAATTTAGATAATATTATTCGGTGTAGCTGAAAGAGGTATTAAATTAATGCACTGAATATTATGTCAACTGTAAGTCTGTAACCAGTAATTTATTATATTCTAGCGCAGCAATTGAATTAGACTAGATGGTTCCTCTTTCAGAGAATTCCAGTCCTATCATATAGTTAGAGATACAGCCTAGACACGTGGCGGTGCCGGCCACCGGTCCACACCTAAGTAGGCCAGTAAGCCGAACATATATAGCATAGCCTCTGACTTCTAGCCCAGACTTGAACCCGTTTATGTGAATCCAAACTCCAAACCAAAACCCTCCACCTTTTTTATCAGGCTGCTCGAACTCCCAAATCTGTTGTTTGGAAATTCGTATCATGGCCAATCCATACTTAGAGGCTTTTGGATGGGTTTATCCAAAATAGTTAGGGCGTTTGGTTGGGGGTTATATGAGAATACTAGGGTTATATAATTTTATATTACTTGATTATCACATTTAGTTGACAAGTAATATAAGATTTTGGTAATTTTCTAATACCAATAGAGGCTGTTTAGAGCGGGGGTAAATAAGATAACGGAGGTAATATTTGTTTATTTTACAATATTCCTGTGTTTGGTTTGCAAGTAATAAAATATTATAGTAATCTTTCATTGCAAATAGTGATTACTGTTGATAATGTGGAGGGTAATCTTATTACCTTGCTATGAGATGTTATTAAAACATTATCAGGGTAATATGATTTTTCTTTCCATTTTGCCCTTAATTAAAAACTATTTTGGACATAATTGCCGTCAAATGTCTACCAAATAACAATTATCCAACCCCCCTACATTTGAGAAATCAGCTAAAACACCACAGCCACAAAAAAGTTTAAAAGTAAACAAAATATTCCCAGCCACCCAAGACCAGCGCTGGCCTCACCACAGCCGGCCGCCAGTGTCAATCGTCATAATGGTGCACGACCGACGAGATCTGGTCAGGCATGCATTGGTAAGGCCTTTTCTGGCCATGGATGCAGAAAACAGCCAGATTTGGGGTTTCTATGGCCATGAAATGGCCATGGATCTGGCCATTTTTCGGCCATAGGTTTGTGATCTGTGGCCATTTTCGGCTTTGCCAACGCACGACCGACCATATACGGCCAATCATGTGTCATTCCGTTGACTGTCGACGGTGACCGGCAGTGGTGGCTGGCTACCGTAGTGGCTTGAAGTGGGTGAGGGTAATTTTGCTACAAATTAAAGTTTTAAATGATTGGGGTGTTTTAGCAAAATTTCAAATGTAGGGGGTTAAAAGAAATTATTCAAAAAATACGAATAAAAAATACTATTATATTAATATTTAAAAAGGAGGGCAATTTAGTAATATATATAACATATCCATCTATTTATCCTCCCAACCAAACATATTAATCATCAATTTATTTGAACCAACCAAACATATTTTCTAAACATTTCCAGTAATCTTCAAGGTGATATTTCTTTCCGTTAATATAAATACCTCTATAATAAAACATTAATTATATGATCCAAACGTCCCCATAGTAGTCACTGTTGGTAATATTGGAGGTAATATGATTACCTCCATTTTCTTAGGTATTGTAAGATTACTTAGTTATCTTATTTTTGTTACAATTTTACCCATTTTTAATACAAATTTTGGACAATAATGCCCCTGTTTTAAAATCAANGAGTGTTTACAGCAAGCGATGGTCTCGGTTCCAGTGTTGGCCACCCCAAATTTTGTTGAGCCTTTTGAAATACAGACGGACGCTTCAGGCTTCGGTATGGGAGCGGTATTGGTGCAACAGGGGCGTCCCATTGCCTTTCTCAGTAAAGCTTTTTCGCCCGCAGCCAAACAGAAATCAGTATACGAACGGGAGCTCATGGCTATTGTGTTTGCAGTGCATAAATGGAGCCACTATCTGATTGGCAGCAAATTCATCATTAAGACGGACCAACGGAGTTTGCAGTTCTTGACAGGACAAAGGCCGATCACTCCGAAACAGCATAAATGGATCTCTAAGCTGCTGGGGTACAAGTTTTAGATTCACTACAATCCTGGCAGTTCTAACAAAGTTGCTGATCTCTTTCCCGACGTGAATCTGCCTCTGAACTGCTCGCTTTATCTACCGTTATATTTCCTGGTTATGAAGACTTGGCCACCGAAGCCTTCCAAGACAATAAGCTCAAGCGCATCATACAAGATCTCATGGCCCAGCCGACTTCCCGTGCTCATTACACCTTACACCGTGGCTGCCTATTATACAAAGGCCGATTGGTCTTACCCAAAACATCTAAATTCATTCCCCACATATTGGAGGAATTCCACAGCACGCCCAGCGGCGGCCACTCAGGTTTTTTTCGCACATATAAAAGGTTAGCTGGTGTTATTTTTTGGGAGGGACTCAAATAGGACGTCAAAGAGTTTGTAAATACATGTGGGGTGTGTCAGCAGAACAAACATCTCTCTTTGAAACCTGCCGGATTGTTACAGCCTTTACCAATCCCAGATTTGGCATTCGACGACCTTTCCATGGATTTCATTGGCGGCCTCCCTAAGAGCTTTGGGTTCGACACCATCCTGGTAGTAGTGGACAGATTGACGAAATACAGTCATTTCATGCTCTTGTGTCACCCGTATACGGCAACTGAAGTAGCTGCTCTATTCG